ATATATATCTATATATATATATATCTATATATATATATATAGATATATATATATATATATAGATATATATATATATATCTATATATATATATATATAGATATATATATATATAGATATATATATATATATCTATATATATATATATATATAGATATATATATATATATCTATATATATATATATCTATATATATATATATAGATATATATATATATATATATATAGATATATATATATATATATATATATCTATATATATATATATATATATTATATATATATATATCTATATATATATATATATATCTATATATATATATATATATATCTATATATATATATATATATATTATATATATATATATCAAAGAACGCAAATTTCTGGGTGATGATGAGCCACAATGAGGCCGACTCCTGTGAACCACGAGCTGCAAGCAACGTGCAACACGAGCCACAACCTGTTTTTTTCAGATTCGGGAAAAAAAAATAAGTGCGCTGGAAATGGTTCGAGGGTTTGGTTTAAGACAAGGATTTATACAGAAACTTAATAGGGTATTTCATACGGATATTGAGGAAAACGTAAACGACTTTTTTCTTTCTTTTGTAAGATGTGATACAGTGCACTGGTAATAAGAGAGAGAGAGAGTGCCATGAAACACGCCAGTTTAATCGCCAGCACTTTACAGACACCGAAAGAGACCGAGCCCCTTGCCAGCCTACCAGAGTGCCTCCCCGAGCGACGGCGCCGCCAGAGCCATCGCAGCCAACTCCAGAAGGGGCAGGAGATTTTCAGGTCTGAGCGGCGCTTCCCCCGACAGGATGAGGCAAATCCTCTTCAGGGCCTCCACGTGCATCGCCAACGGGATCAGCAGGTACTCGTAAACGTAACTTCCATACCGCTGAAGGAATTTCTTCTCGGGTTTGGGCAGGAACGCCCAGAAGGGCTCGAGGATGGACACTTCGAAGTCGTAGAAGGTGTTGGTGTAGATGTGGTGCGAAAGGCCGTGGGTTATCCTCCAGTCGTAGGAGGAGAGGAAGGTCAGGTCGAAGAGGAACATCCGCCAGTTGTCTCGCTGGTGGAAGAAGTTGTGCGCGCACATGGACGTCATGGCAAGAAACACACCTGCGGCATGAAAGGGATGGAGGATATTACTACCTGACTGGGAACTATAACGAGGCAGGGAAATATATATATATATATATATATATATATATATATATATATATATATATATATATATACATATATGTACATATATATATATACATATATATATATATATATATATATATATATATATATATATATATATATATATATATATATATATATATATATATCAAAGAACGCAAACACCATGCAAGAAGCAGCTGCCAGAGCCCACTGCCAGCAACGCCAGGCACTTACCGCCAAGAACAGCAAAGGCGGAGGAATTCAAGAGACACGCTGCTAAGACCGATAATGCCGCGGCACTCGCTAAGCCGTCTTGGATCAGGATCATCGACCAATCCGGTCCGGTTCCTACCTCCTTCAGGACAGGCCGGACCTAAAGGCAAACGGATTCTTAAGTGAGAGGGAGGGAGAGGGAGAGGGAAAGGGGGAGGAAGAAGGAGAGAGGGGGAGGGAGGAGGAGAAAGGGGGAGGGAGGAGGAGAGAGGGGGAGGGAGGAGGAGAGAGGAGGAGGGAGAAGGACAGAGGGGGGGAGGAGGAGAGAGGGGGAGGGAGAAGGAGAGAGAGAGAGAGAGTGAGAGAGAGAGAGAGAGAGCGAAAGCGAGAGAGTTATAAATGGAGAAAGAAAAACTTGACTGCATCTACACTTTAATGAAATAGTGTGTGAATAACTGTAAGCACATACAACTTAGCCCAACAGCCTTTTTCATCTGTAAAGGAAACAATAGCGTAAAACATAGTTATAGAACGCGAATGGGAGCCAATTTATATCAATCCTGAAAACACACAAACCAACAAAAAAAGAAAAGAAAAAAAAAACCTAAATTGGTTCACATTGGAACACACTCCTCTACCTTTCTCTTGAACGTCTTGTAAAACCCGTCTTCATGAAATGTATAGGGAGAATTCCTGGGTCCTTCCGCACGTCTGACAAAGTACTTCGGCAACACTGCTTCGGCGCGACTCCAGAGGTGCGCGCTCTCGAAGGCCTCCGTGATGTCTGTGCCTTTGGTCGACTCGATCCAGACCTTGCCTGTGGCCGGAGGATTTAAAAACGAAAAAGAAATTACCGATCCAAGATAAAAAAATGAAAGAAAAAAAAGGTCTAAATTTCGTCTGTGAACGAAAGATTTAAAGAAGAAAAAGAGACTGAGCCAAGACTTTATAAGAAGTAAAACATTTCCAAACTTTGCCTGTGAACGAAAGATTTAAAAAGAAAGGAATTATCGATCCAAGATTTACAAAAACAAAATCTAAATTTCTTCTGTAAACGAAATGCTAAAAAAAAAGGAATACGATTTGATGTTAAGGGATTTTTACAAGTTTGGAATCGACTATTATTAAAACTATTGTTATAATCATTATCGTTGTCTGTTATTATCTGTTTAGGTTAACAATGTACACTCAAACTTCTGCCTAGACCTTGATATATGTTTCCTTGAAATATAAAACAATTTGGAGGATACAGCAACAGCTTGGTCGACCTTCCCCCTCCCCCCACTCACACAACTCAACACACAGAAACACTCCTCCCCCCCCTCCCCCACACAAACATACAAACACAAGCAAACACACCCACCCGTAACCCCTCCCCCGTCCATACCCCCCCCCCCATCCTCACCTCCCGGATGCCTCTCCGCGAACTCCGTCAGGTCGTAGAGCCCGTCGTATATTCTCCAGTAAGGGCCGACGGCGTCGTCTTCCCGCTTCCCCTTGATCCATTTCAGGGCCGATTTGAGGGGGTGGTCCCTGTTCGTCGGGTAACACTTGAATCCCGGAAGCGAGTTTGAATTAACGTCCGCCCTCGCTTCGTCTGCGGGGACGGCGTCTTCTGGGCGGGGCGGCATCTGGAAGGAGTTCGGAGGAATTTTAATGACCTTCCCCTCTGCGTGCCCTCCACTCTACTGGTTATCGCCTGTACCAGAACAGAACCACACCAACGAAGTGCCCAGAGCAAGCGATTCCGACCCTTACCGTCGATTTAATGACCTCTGCCCTCTACTTACCCTCGACTTCCCACGGTACCCAGGGCCCTGCTGGTAATCGCCTGTGCCAACATTGACCTGCACCCAGAACGTAACGACAATGGCGAAGTGCCCCCAGAGCAACCAATTCCGACCTTTACCGTCGAATACTTTCTAACTACAAGTGAACTTATATCTTGATTATACTCAAAATGTTTGTAAAATAAATCCTGATTCTCAATCACTATGTTTGTAATCATTATCATTGACGATATTGTAGTTATCCAATGTTCACGATTTAATTGTATTGACATATCTAGTGTCCCCGACCAGATATGTGATCGTAGGACCCTATAAAACAGAGAGTCTCAACTGACATTTCCCACCAAAAATCAATGTTGCCATATTCTGATGTTTAGCGAATATTATGTGAACCCCTCAAAAACCAAAAAAAAAAAAAAAAATCAGAATCGGCTCGGTCAACACCTCCAGCTCCCCCAGTTCTGACCTAGAGTAAACCCGAAGAACTGCCGATACTTTATTCACCCATCAGTTGTAAACATTAGGTGGCAAGAGAGAGAGAGAGAGAGAGAGAGAGAGAGAGAGAGAGAGAGAGAGAGAGAGAGAGAGAGAGAGAGAGAGAGAGAGAGAGAGAGAGAGAGAGAAGAATTTTTCTTTTTGGTTTGACAGGTTTATTGAGACAAAAGCTTACATCTCAAAAGGATGAGGTAACTTAGATTATCCTTGCCCCTATCTTAATAAGTCCCTATGTGGGCTCATATTTCACATACACAACATAGGTATATCAACAAATGGGACACATACACACATCTTCATTGGATCTAGCTAGTCCAATGAACAGATATCTATGATTAAGACACGCTTACACTATCAACAGTACTCTGTTGTTCACGCTTTCCTGAGGCTGGTCTTGAGCCAGGCCAACGCAACTACTCCTGGCAAGAAGTGCGAAACTATATATAAACAAAAGGTAAAGTCTGACCGCTCTCTGTGTACACCTGGGTGACAATTTTCTAGTTTACTCTATATCACTTGTTTTCATTGTTTCATGATAGACTTCATTATTCCTGTATCGCATCCTTATGTTTCTCCAACAAACATCGAATGGTTGCCCATTCGCCTTGCACAATTTCCCATTTTTGAAGAGGCTTTCCTTCTCCTGATCTTTGCACTTGAGCAGGAGTGACCTCAGAGTCCGCAGAGGATGTTCCTCCCACTACACTCGCGGTTATTTTCCTTTCCATTCCCAGGACCACTAACATTTCTATATTTTATTTCTGCGTCTGGGGGGAGGGGTCTGTGACAGCCTCCTCTCTCTGTTCCTCGGTTTCTCTGTCCATAACTTGTGCCAGCATTTTCAATTACATCCATTCTCTGCATCAGTGGCTGCATCATCCGGGTGATTGCCGATACTTCCTTCCCAGAAAAATCCGTATCACTACTTTGCAGCACTTTCTTCACTCCCTGCACCTGACGGCGACACCACACGCGGTGGGCCTTGTAGCCAGGCGTTGGGAACTATAGTTGTAGCCTCCATTTGCACCTCTGCCTGCGAGGTGGCAGGGCCTTTTTCTTGTTCCGCGATTCCTTGCTGAGGAACTGCCGAAATAAGCTTTGATTGTGGCCTTGCCCTGCATACCAGAGGCCTGGCATTGTGGGGCCTCCGCACTTGCAGCAGCAAGGCTTAACCCTTTCCCCCTTTTCAATTCTGGCTCGGAAGATCCTGGAGTCATGCTTTCTTCCGAAGAACATCGAGCATCCTGCTGACAGGCCAAGACTTGTGGTCCCATCGGCAACAGTTGAGGCACATGACTGGTGGCTCCACGTATGGTGCCACCCTCCT